GCAACTGACTTTTGCTATCCTACTTGTTTTAGACTCTTCCTAGAATAGATTTGATCCTCAATATGAATAAACCTCTTTAATTCATATAGTCCACTCTGTTCTTTCAGTCTGTGCATTTTAGTCTTGAAAGAACTTCATTCAGCGGGTAGTTTACTCAACATAAGGCCGACAAAAAGATTATCGGACATATTAGTTTTATCATCTTTTAGCTTGTTCCTTATGTTCTCAAGTTCAATTAAATGCATTCATATTAAATTCGAATTCAAAGAACTTCTTTTCTCGGAGAGTTTTGGAGAGCCCCTCTTGTTTTTGGAACTAAGTATTCAAGTGATCTCATATATTTTTTGTCGTCTTATACTCACTACAAGTCATAGCTAGATGATTAGAGAATTTAGAAAGTAAACCCTACAAAAGTCTCCATCTTTGTTCCATTGATATTCATCCACATTTGTAATACTATATGCAAAATCATTTAATACATTGTGGAATATTTCACGTTCTTTCATGTCAAATTTAACATGTAATTTCGAACCATGAAATTCAGTAACATCAAATGATTGCAACTTTATAATATCATAGGAACTACGTTTAGCTATTTTTAATCAGAGCTAAAAGTCAGAAAGAGTACACCTTGTAGTACACGGACTTCGCATATTAGAGCAAAGACTATAACTTTCATCAATTTGCTTTGTAGAGTTGAAATTTGTCAAAACAAACCCTAAAATAGATCTAAAGTGCCCAAAAACGTTAAGATGGACTACCCCTGCTGTCAGAAACTCATAGAAATATTTTTCGGTTATTAAAAATTCGGAGGAAAATGTGCCTGAAACTTCAGATGGCCATATTTCCTTTATTCGACCTCTGTTTAAAGTGACCGAGCACTCAAACGACCGTCTTGACGAGTAGAACAAAGCCCAGTAGGTTTCACTTCCTAAAATTGCCTAAATTTCTGGGATCTAAACCGAAAAGTTATGGTTGCAGTATCTTCAAACTCAGATCCCAGAAAATCCTTCCATCGAATCGCGAAAGTGATTTAAAATACGAGTTCCTGTCGATGAAATCTTCGAATAGACACCTTACTCGCTCAAATCCGACACACGAAGCTAATACTTCAAGATTGTTGAAAGTAATGAGTTTGAGAGAGAAGAGTTTTAATGTGCTTGAAGTATTACACAAAGAGATATGAAATTTGGAATGTATAATATTGTTGCGTCCAGCTTAGGAAACCCTAGAGATAATACAAGCTATTGTGCTCCAACTTATATGGACCTAAATAAATATACTTTCACTTATTGAGCTTGTATGTGAACTGTGAATTTACATATTATTGGATTATATTATTAATATATCCAACATATTTTTTTGGAAATATTCCAATCGGTTCAACGCTTCGCGACTAGTCTAATTCGGGACGGATCCCAGGATTAAAGCTTTAAACCCCTTCCAAAGTCGGTACTGGAGAAGATCGAATATCGAACACATGTTTTCACCCCTACCTGCGTAGTTCCCTGACGTCATCAACTAGTTATCATTATTTGATATTTATCCGACATACTTCGTATATATACTTGAGAACACACAGTTTCCCTTCCCTTTGAGAGGTTCCTTATTGAATCCAAACGAAACCCAATAAACCAATCATATCTGATCTCTTTTCTTAAACTTCATTTGCAGTTTCTGTGGTACGTGCTTGTTTGAAAGCAATCAGAAAACGACAAGCATGTGAGACGCATGCACAAATAGGCACGTCTTATCTCTTCTAGCTAGTGAGAAGCACAAGCACCACTAATAGAACTTTCGATGAAATTACTAAATTCTATTTAATATACATTGTTAGGAATATGATTCATGGCATTTGAGAATGCATACATATTAACTTGTTGAGCCACGATAATTGATGGGTTTGAATAGTTTGTATTAGGTTATGTCTTAAATTCTCACTATTGTATATATAAAAAATAATATTAAATCATTGTGGCCCGAACAAGTTGTGTGAACATTATTGTTCACTTGGGTCTCACAAAGAAAACAACAATGTGATGTGTTCGCAAAGGTTAGCCACTAACGAGAAAATGCTTTAGTTTGAAATAAAAGGCATCTTTGGAATTCTGATGCTTCTAAAAAGCTATTTGGTTGGAGAATCATTAAGAAAACACTCAAAATGCTCTTTTGATTCAAGATAAACACAAGCTACGGTACCCATGAGAAGTAACGAAAGCGTTACCTTCTCATATAAAAGGTATATAACATACAGAAAAAAAGTTATATCCACCCAATGGCTTTATCTGATTGGGTGGGAATGGAACCATCCACGTAACCATTGAGTTTCATGCCTGTTGGTGCCAAGCATGATAGTTGGAGGCTGAAAGTTTGAGTGCTAATGTCACATCGGTTTGGGCTGGAAACAGCCATATGAATATAAGACATATTTGAATTGAAAAGAATGATTTGAATTAATTTGGAGGATTAAGAAATAGAATCTTTGTGACGTGGTAAAGTTGGAACATTCTAAGGGACAAAAGAAGATATAGCAGATACATTTACAGAAAAGATATAGTATACTTAACCAGACTAGGAATTAGATTCAAAGGTAATAGTTTGAAGCATTAACCACTGCCAAACCAAAGTTTTCTCCCATTCAGGCATTCACAAGCTTCATTATTGCATTATACCGAAGCTCAATTTCCTAACTGTATTAGCAAGCATTAACAAAGTGATAATATTGAAGCAAGGAGAATGCATAGATTGATTATAAAAAGTATATTCTTAAAAACTATCTAAACATTTGGGAAAAATAAAATAAAAAATCTTTGAAGTATAACTCGTGAGATGTTGATGCCAAACTCACCAAAAACAAAATACTACGAATAAATAAAAACCTAATAGCCAATAGAAGAAAATCTACTTGCAGATAAAGCCAAGGGCATATGCAGTAGGAGTTGTGTCATTCACAAGAACTGAAAAGTTATCCAACAAAGTTTAAGACAAAATTTGGCCAGAAAACCAAGAAGTTCTTGCTACTTTCAACCCAAGCTTCAAAAGATAAATGGAAATAAATCAGGTCCATTATTTGTGTTTCTTTCTTATACCATAGTGTTCCCCCATTTAATAGCTTCTCTGTTGCATCAATAGGAAGTCCAATCAAACGTAACTTCTTCTCCCAAACTATATTAGCAGTTTGCATTCTATTATGCGCTTCCTTGGAAGAATTAACAAATCGACAATTATATTGGTACTGAGAATTTAAGTGTCAATTTCAGATGTATCCGTGGGTAAAAGGAATCTCAAGTATACTATAGCGTTCAACGTTTTTCATTCTGAAATAACGGAAGGGCAGAAAACTTCCAGGAAAGATTTTACATGACCAATGTATTTGAGAAGTTGTAGCCTAAATGACAAGCTGTTTTGTTATCATAACTTTCTCTATTTAGTTTTAGGGTTTGATGTTTCTTATGTTATAGAAGATAAATTTAATTTCTACACATACATAAAATTGTGTGAGTCCCATATGGAAACATGTGAAGAGAAAAAAAATATAAACTTCACCCACTTTTTTGTACATGTAAGAAATAATTTTATCTCCTACAGCATGAGAGACATTAAACCCTTAGTTGTATTATTATTATAGGTTTGTACCGCTTGTGGAATAATCATTGAAATACTTGTCATATTTGTTTAGTAAACACTTATTCAAAGAGGCTGTGTTCATTTTTCTTTGATAAAGAGAGAATTACAAACGTTGCATTTGCATTCACACCTTAAGTGAACTTACGTTCAATGTGCAACATCATTTTCTCATTTCATATTACAAAGTTGAAAATATAAGTGACCACGTGATTCACTGGGGATAGTAGATTCGGTCTAAATGGTTTCCCCCCACAGCTTTGATCGAAAGTTAGAAAAAGAAAATACAAATAGAACGTTTAATTAGTCATTTTTCTTATATCGTGACTTTTCGATTTGTGTGCAAATTTTTTAAAATAAATAAATAAATATGATACCCACCGTTGAGTCACAAGATGAGAAAACTATTCTCACACAACATGAAAAAATCAAAGCCCAATAAATAAATAAACAAATAAAACCGTGCCACTTGGACTGCACTTAGCGGTAGCACACTTGGGCTTCTGCTACGCAACTATCCCCCGCTTCCTTAATCCTTCATACCATTGCTAATTTCTTGCCACAAGAGCATTAGCTGCCCTCCCATTATTCTAAGCAGAGTTAACATTATTTTCTACGGATGATTCTAGTCTCTAGAAGTGTTCGGTTGCTGCACAGCAAGCCTGGAACTGTTATGGACCCTTAACACAATAGATTATCTTTGCATTAACACTATCCTAATGGTACTAGTTGATCCAACCGAGGAAGGGGTAGAAGACGCCTATGGGCAAAGCTGAAATGCTACGTGTTTGTAGAGACTAGTTTGTGACTTGTGTCTAGGACAAATGAAATAAAGGAAGTCAAATCTATGGTACTATACTATACATGCATGCCTTGAAGCACTCATTTGCGAAATTTCATTGCTCTCCATTCATTAACCTAATCTCACTTCTCACCAGCAAACTACATGTGAAACTAACAAAGCAAAGTCTACTTTTCATCACCCGCCATTTAAAACAGATTACACTTTCTTCATAATGCATAATTTCATCAGACAGTCTGGCCACCAAAATCACATACATCCCTTGAGATGCCAGCCATTGAGGAAAGCATCCGGTAAGGAAATAAAAAAAGAAGCATCTTCTGAAGATGTAAAGTAACTAAACACAGCATAGAACAGGCAATAAATGAAATTTAATCAATAAGACAAGACTTAAACGAAATAATAGTCTCGAGAGCCCTGAAAACAAAACCGTAGCTTTCTTATGCTAAAGTGCATATCTTTAAACCCTATTCTTCATCCTAACCAAAAATAAAAAATTCTGCTGTCACTGATGTACGGATATAAAATGCAACTGATAAGCTAAAAATACAGTTTTGATACAAGCAAAAATTATAAGAACGAAGACCTAAATTTGAATTTGCTTTTCCAGGTTCCATAACTTCTGCTTCAGCCATATGTTACTGAGATGCAATATATTTTGAAAGTGAAATTAAATCTAATCACAACAACTATCATATAAGAACCATAGTTTGAAATGATGATGGTCTCAATGCCTCTGAATAAGATAAAAATTATGTTCTTAAATAACAGAGAAATAAATAAACATATACTAAGCACCTTTATTCATGATACAGAACACTGTCACCTAAACAATTGGAAAGAAGTCTCACCCAGCAGATGAAGCAGCATCACACCAATACACAGCCACCACTGAAAAAGGAGCAAAATCCCAGCTTCTCTCTCTCTCAATATATATATAAATATATATTCAGAAAATGATATCCTCATCTTTCTCAGATGCCACGGACAACATGTTTTGAGAGGAATTGAAGGAAAGCCCTTGGCGATAGGGGAGCTTTTCAACAAGCTGTTCCTTGGCAGACTGCATCTGCATCTGCATCTGCTTCTCAATTTCTCTCTTCTTATATCCCTGAATCTTCTTCAACCTAAAGAAATCCTCTCTTTCAAGCTCATCCAACTCACCCTTAATGTAACTAATGGTATTCTCCAACCTAGGCTTGACAACATTCTCAAGAGCATTGACCCTGCGGTTGGTGGTCTTGATAGCCTCATCAAGGGTGAGGAAAGAGGTCTGCAAGGAAGCAAGCTCAACAAGAACCTCAATAGCCTTGACGTAAGCAGCACGGCATTGCTGCACCTGCTGGCCACCCCTGGCCAATCCGGTGAGGTCATTCTTTGTGACCTCGCCATCGGCGGTGTAGTCGAATTTTGGAAGTCTCACTCCGGCAATATTCTCGTGGCGAGAACGGACCCGGAGTGAAGCTTCTCGAACATTCTCAAGCACAACATGCTTGATGTTGTCCCCGGCAACATACTTGGCCTCAGTTAAGGCGAAAGAAGAGGTCTTCATTATGTCACCCATTGATTCCTTTGTGGACACAATCTTCTTCAGGATCTGCCTGAACTGCACGGTGAGAGCATCACTCTTCTTCTTCAGAAGCGCGTGGCCTCGAGTAGCTCCAACCAAACGAGCTTTCACCACTCCCAGCATCGTCACTGTGGGGACCACATTCAGACGCTGTGTTTGCCCCGACATCTTTCCTTTCCTTTCCTTTCTCCTCAAACAAAGATCTAACCTAATCAACACACACACACACACAAAAAACAACCAAACAGGGGTTTCGTCGTTAGTTAATAAGATTCGATTTTGAACTCGAAAACGAAAAACCCATCAACTTTTGGAAGATGGGTACCAATGTATGAATCGAATTTTTACATGTGACTAACTCAACACACAACACAACATAAATCAATTCACATCGGAACAATCAGAATGAGATTGGTGAAATCGAAAAAACAAAAGAGAAGAAAACGAATTAAAATTGAGGTTTGAGAGAGGAACGTGTAAGACATACCTGTCAGACAAGGAAGTTGCTGATCGGAGATCGAGAACTGAGAGAACGATCAAGAGAGAGAGTAGAGAGAGAGAGAGAGAGAGAGAGATGAAAGGGGCTTACTGTATCAGATGGGTTTTTGTTTTTGGGTTTAATGGGCTTCAATTATGGGCTTAACATTCTTCTTTTATTGGGCTTTTCATTGTAATTCAAACTGCAAAGTAAGGCTCGTTATCTGTGGCCAGTCCCAACGACCCCAAACGAAAACCTCACTCGTTTGTTTAGTTTAAACTTCTAAATAACTCAAAGAGTAAAATATCTTTTATTTGTTTAATTTAAAGACAAATTCATATTAAAAGAACTTTATTCAGAATTTCAATTCATAAATTGTATACAGTTCTTGTGAGTCATTAAATATTTATCGATTATAATGTAATCAATAAATATTTGAAGTCTTTCAAATACAACCAATAACCTTTGACAACTAATTGGTAACTGATACCCAAGAAAAAAAAGGGAAACAAAGTAATCCCCTTTGCAAAATTTAAAGAATTATTTTAGGGTTAAAACTATAACAAATTTTACGGTTGAATAAATATCAACGTGTTATAAAACTAAAAGATAAAATATTTCATGACAAATGTTAGAGAAACAATACAGAAATGTAAAATGAAGAGAGAGAGTAAGAAAATGTCATCATTTTTTCTTATTCAATTTTTTCATAAAATAAATGTCTCTATATAAAACTCTAAGAATGAATATAGAACAATTACACATATGCACCATGCTTATATGGTTGGAACACTGATCAAAATGTCATTGTTCACCAACTTTTTTATCTAAATACCACGCGAACAATGTTATTTCTCAATATGTCACGGGAGCAAGTTCGCTACCCTGGTTTGCTGACGTGTCACATTTTTAATGGATATCAAATTTAAAAAAAAATAAAAAAAAAATAAAAGTCGCCTACCATGTAGGCGAACTTGGTTAAAATCAAATTGGTGTTCACTACAAACAGGACACGTCAGCAAACCGAGTTCGTTACACCAGGTAACGAACTTGCCCCCGTGGCAGATTGAGAAATAACACTGTTCGCGTGACATTAAAGTAAAAAAGTTAATGAACAGTGACATTTCTATATAGTTATAATTCATACCAAAGGTCATGGCAAACAAAATGTCATAACATAAACCTCCTAAAATTTCAATAATCATCCATACATAAAATTTATATTTTACACCACGTCAAATTATTACCGGTATAATAAACCAAATCCAAAACTAAAACTTTTTTTAATGACATTCTTTTTAATTATAGGGTTTTGTAATTGTCCTCTAACAGGGAAATTGGCGGATCATGTTACAAATATGTTTAAGTAGGACTCGCTAAATATTAGAAAAAAAAAATGAAGAAAAAAATTTACACGAAAAACGATGTGAAAGCACGATTAAACAAAATTTTCGTGTAACATTACGTTTGCTTTTCCCTTAATTATATGTATCAATGGTGGGGGACAAATGGAGTTATTAAGTTATTATTATTCAAAAAAAAATCATCTCTTTATCACATACATAACAAAATTTATCACATACATTTTTTTTTCTTTTAAATAGTATATCTTATGTTATTTCACTCTAAAAAAAATGATATTCACATTTTTATTTTATTTTTTATCCATTTTTTTTTTTATGATTTATTTTTTTTCTCATTTAAATGACACACCTTTACTTTAAAATGAGACAAATTTTTACCATTCAAGAAACCTTAAAACTTTCACTCACGCGTTGATTGGACCGATAAAAAAGTGACGCAAATAATTACCTCGGTCATTGAGAAGTCAATACTCGTGCTGTTTTCTTGTCAGTCCGTTTGCCATGTTTATTTTTATTTTTTTTAATAAGGGAAAAATATTAACTCAAATTACAAAGTTAGGCTTGCACTGCTCATGTAGGTGGCTCCGAAGAACATGTTTTTCGATTTTCTTTTTCACTTTTCTAATTCCTTTTGTTCGTTTTGTGGTTTCAAAACTTAAAACAAAATAAGAAATTTCTTAGGATGTATTTTAGGCAGTCACTGTTAATTATTCACTTATTCGGATATGTATAAAAATTTTAATATATTATATTTAAGAGAAAAACAACTCTCTTGCCGTTGGAGAGAACATTTTTCTCTTATAGAGCCACAAAAATTTGTGTCATTTTTTTTCTTAACTCTGGTGGGTCTCATGATTTTTTGTCTTAGCCGTAGATAAAAAGTCTCTCTTATTACAAAGAGACATTGCCCTTTATTTAATATGGCCAAGAGAACTTTGCACATGCTTAATGTTGAATAAAATGTCCGTTAATATAAAGTAATTTTCTGAATTAGAGTCACGCTGGTTCAAAGGTAAGGCTAATAAATTCCTTGTCCTTGGTTCTAATTTGTTTTAGGGCTCATAATTTTATTATTTTATATTCATTATGTATTAATTTATATTTTATGAAAAATGTTTTTCTCTATAAAAAATATAAAATTTTAATGATAAAGCCTAATTTATGGTCTGATGTATAATTATACTTTATCGTTTCTTAATTAATATATTTTATTATCTCTTCCCCCCTCCTCCTCCTCCTCTCTCTCTCTCTTATTTATCAACTATTACTTATTATTTTTCATATTTTTTTACTCTCATTTTATTTCTTTACTATTTATCATCATCTTTGAAATTTATCTTTTGTTTAACATCAAATAGCCTTCTCTATTCGTGAACTTGAAATTAGACAGCTATTAATCATAGTAGTTAAAATTTCGATTTAGCCTTACGTTTTTACGATTGTTTTTTCATTTAAATGTTTTTACTAATATTCCAAACGCTTTTACGTTCATACAATTTTTTACGTTATAATTTTATGTTTTACTATTTTTTATCCTTATTTTGATTTTACGTAAAATCTTGTTTTCAACTACCTTGCTATAAACTGCTTCTTATAAAGTAGTGTTTTAAAAAAATAGTATTTTTTGGATTTTTTTCTGTTTTTTTCATTCACAATTGTGTTGTACAAAAATTGAAAACCATTTTTAAAATAAGAAAATAAGAGATAAAATTGGATTAATTTTTTTTTTTAAAATTTCGTCGTGAGTTTCCTCAATCATGTCTCCTCTTTTATGCTGTCACTAGTCTAAATTTGAAAATAAATTTAATTTATTTATGAGCGTATCATTAATCAATTGTATTCATAATCACAAAATACCACTACGAAAATAATGAAATCAATTTTAAATTTGATGGTTTTGAAAATGACAACTTCAAAATTTTTTTAAAACAATCAAAATCAATAGCTCTAAATATGTTCTGTCAATTTAAATTTTTATATCATAAAAACTGTTGTTCAGAATGATCGGCAAATACGTCCTTTAAAAAAATTAAAAAAAAAAGAGTAAATATCATTTTCGGTCCTCAGCAAATTTTACGATACCCGCTTTCGTCCCTAGCAAATAAAAAGCCTATTCATGGTCCCTGAAAAATTCAAAGTGGACCCATTTTAGTCATTTTGAGAGATTAATATGGGTCTTTTTTAAAATTGTGAGGGACCACGATTTCAACTAAATGAGTTCATTTTGAATTTCTTAGGGACCACAAATAGTCTTTTTATTTGCTAGGGACTAAAGCGGGTTTCGTGAAATTTGCTGGACCAAAAAAGTATTTACTCTTAAAAAAAGGGGAAGAATATTGTGACAACCAAGTTGTGTTACTACCAAGTGACTACCAATCAATCTCACCGTTAGATCGATTATGTTGATCCAACGGTTATGTTTATTTTCATCTTTGTATGGTCATGATTCCCCATATTTAAAGTGAAAGCATTAAATGGAAATCATAACCATACAAAGGTGAAAATAAATATAAAGTATTAAATTTGAGAAATCATGACCATACAAAGATGGAAATAAATATAACCGTTGGATCCACATAATCGATCTAACGGTGAGATTGATTGGTAGTCACTTGATAGTAATACAACTTGGTTGTTACAATATCATTTCCCTAAAAAAAAACAATGTCTTGTTTGCGGGCTTCATATTTAATTCTTAAAAAACAAAATAATTTTAGAAGCAATTTCAATAACATTCAGACGACACCCAAGTGTGGTGGCTCAGTTGGTAGCATGGGGATTGAGCGGTGGGAGAGTACCTCGGTTCGAATCCCACCAACACCATCTGGGAAGGAGCATAAGTACCGTAATCCTTTGACTCGCACCCGAACTCTGGATTAGTCCTATAACACGTGGAGATACCGGGGTTTTGATTAGCCTCAAAGAGATAATTAGGATCAGTTTCCAAAAAAAAAAAAAAAGTAACATTCAGACGACATATGTTTCATCAACTATTTAAAAAGAGTTTTTCATTAACATTTTTAATGAAATTTCACAGTTTTTTATTCTATATTATAAAAAAAATTCATAAAGAAATTATGCTCAAAATGAAATATAACCTATATTTTGTAATAGATTTATCGTTTATAAAAAGAAAGATTTATTGTTTCTCCATCAACATAAAATAAAGATGGGAAAAATTACTCTTATACTACATGTGATAACTTTCTCTCTTATATACCCTTCGATAACTGTGTCACCTTTTTTTTATTTTTCAGATGGTGGAGTACTCTATAAATTTGTCTCTATGATATGAGACAACTTATCTTCTTTAATATGAGATCAATAAAACCCAATAAAGATATCTCTATCAATCCCAAAATTACGTCGTTTTGAATTAAGAGAATTAATAAAAGGTATCTTAGGAATTTTATTTGTTTATTATATCGTTAATTTCACTAACCATCAAGACGACATAATTCTGATTTGATGGAGATAATTTTATTTCGTGTATGTTAATGGAGAAACAATAAACCCTAAAAAAATATGACGAGAATGATGACTTTGAAATTTTTTTTAAAAAAATAATCAATTATTTTTGTATTAAAATTAAGTTTTTTAATTATATTTTATCAAAAATTAATTTTTTTAATTAATTTTTTTTTTTATAATTTGAGTTTATATAGATCATCAAATACCTTTGGCCGCCCTAATTAGAGTTCAACAGCATCTA